TTAAAATATAAATAAATTATTTAATTACACTTTGAATATTTGCGTGTTATAACTTTCCCCAGTGGGAAAATCTGCCTAGCACGAGAGCTTGTTAGATAAAGACGACCGGTGCGCTCGTAGTGAAATTGGATGCATTTGAAAATGTTACGAAGTGAAAGCCAGATAATCGATGGACGCGAGTGATGTAAAACGCAATTATGCGTCAGTTTTCTTTCCGTAATCGCTTAAAAGTTGGAAATTGTCGAGGATTATGAACGGGCAAGGTTATTGACACTTTTTTATATAAACACGCACGAATGCTATGGTATGAACAGAAATGGTTAATAGACAGGTTATCAAACGGTTTCGATTTTAAAGATTTTTATTACGAAATATTTATATGTATGGTATGTCCAAATTTAATTGGATTGGTTTGGGGCTCTTAGTACTACCATAACTATATATAAAAACTAAAAACATTTTGATTAATTATTTAATACTATACGATTGAAAAAAGAGGCGTCAGAATTGGCGTGAAATTAAAGATCATTGTCATTTTTTATGTAAGATTATATGGGGAATATCAAAGGAATATACAGGATGGTCCGAACTGTATTCCGGAAACTTCGGCAGCATATTCCGCAGATAAAAATAAGTAAAAAAGTTTGTATAAATGTATATCCTAAAATACTTAGTTCCGGAGATACAGGGTGTAGAAGTTTTATTTTTATTTCGATTTTTTCAATCAATACTGGAAATTTGATTTTGATTTCAATATGACCCCTATTTGTAGGGGGCGCCACATACATGTGTTTTAACTGATTTAAAGAGTAATAACTTTTCGTCCGTACCTGTATAAAACTACTGGGTGAAAAATGTACATCTCCGTAACTTTCTACGTAAAAAATGTCTTTTGGTAAAAATCGCTACGAGCAACCGTTCTCAAGATAATTTAGAATGGAAATAGTTAATACATGTCATTGTTGACAAAAAATAAACATGTCGAGTAGATAGTTATTTGACTAAAATGATAAATTTGAAAACTTTTAATTTTTTAAATTCAACCATAATTTTTTTTTCCAAGTTAACTAAACGCCTTTTTTTTGATTATATGGTATATCACTTACATACAAACCTACAATAAATAACATTATTATAGAAATTCGCGTTTATTACACTTTTTTGAGTAAACTAACTTTTTATATTTTGTTTCAGGTGTAAAAAACATTCGTTTTCATGTGTTGGAGAAGGTTCCAGATCCATCGAGATATATCAAGGTACTTATTCACTTATTTTCATAAAAATAATTTAGTTAATTTACAAAATGACGTATAGGCACAGAACAGATACAAATTTGTATTTGTTTTTTGGTATAGGTATTTATGGGAAAAACAATATCTAAAATAATGTGATTCGTAAAACAAACATTAACCATATAAACTTAAAATGTTTAATATTTATACAATATTAAAAATGGACAATGCAGTTTGATTTACACTGACTATTAGTTTATTATACGAAGCCTACAAAATGAGCAGTTAATTCAAAATAGTACTGGTGTTTCATGTACAATGCAATTGTGACAAATCTAACGTTACTGAAACATTAGGTTTGTTGTTTATAGCAAAATTCGTTCCATTAATTAATTGAAGTTTTTTGTTCTTGGATATTTTTTTATTGTGATTTGATGTAGGTAATCCAACCAAATTCATTATTGTTGTACAGAAAAAAATCAGTGAAGAAATAAAAATGAATAGATATTATATGTATATAATAATAGGAATGTAATTATTATGTTCTTTGTACATTATTAAACTAAACTAAAAAATAAGTACCTATGTAAAATAAACCACAAATAGCAAAAATGAAATCAGTACCGCACATTATTTGGGTTTAAATGCATATAATGGATTTGGTTGGATTACCTACGTTAAATCACAATAAAAAATATCCAAGGATAAAGAAGTTTAAAGTAATGAGTGGAACGAATTTTGCTGTACACAGCAAAGCTAATATTTCAGCAATATTAGATTTGTCACAATTACATTGTACTCGATTCACCAGTACTTTTTGAATTAACTGTTCATTTATTTTTTTTAATCACCCTTGGCCAATTTATAATAGCAATCTAGTAAAATTACACGAATAAGCTATTTGTTTTTGACTTAATTTGCTACGGTTAAAATATAAAACACGAATCTTATGATAGTAAATTTGGTTCTGTCAGTTTTGTTCAGCATTATGTTAGAATGCACTGGGCTCTAGTAACACAATTTTTAATTATTCATTATTTTATAAAATTGACATGGAGTCAGACACAAATCATCTACATTATATCATATTTGTGTCTAAAAAGAGAGAGAAACTCGAATTTCGAAAATGAATCGACAATAACTGGAAACATTGTTTCCAAAACGTTTCGATTTAGCGCTGTAGAAATTTTATACTAGTCACCTGTCAACAACGCCAATCAAAACTTCAGGTCAAAATAATTAAAACATTTTTATTTACTTATTATAACACAATTAAAACATAAAAAACATGTATTCATTAAAGAGAAAAAAAAAACGTTTGCTGGGAACATTTTTCTTGTTATCTCCTGTTGGGTATGGTAGTGGCTGTTATTACATTTATTCCTAAAACAAATCATCTCTGTAATGCGTGTAATAAATTATTATAAAATAGCATAAGAAAAATATCTGTATTTGTACTCATCATAAATATGTCCTTCCTTCTGCTTTTTTAATTATAGTACTATAAAAACTTGAAGAACCCTTAAATGCAAAAACTGCAGAACAAAATCCAAACAATAAAGTAAGGTTATGTTTTCATATTTGACAGAATATCAATTAAATTATGGAAACTTTTCAGACACAAAACAGGTACGAAATCTTTGTAAATGTGAGCCACATCTGTTTCTTAAAAGTTTCGAAAAATTTGTGGCACTTAGATCTTTATTGTTATAGCTTATGTAGCGAAACCATATTTTGGTAAAATGTTTCTAAACAAAAAGCGATTTATGTTACGAAACATATGTATCAGAAATGTGACGAAACTGTTTCGCAATGTTTCTCAGCAGAGATTTTGTATCTAAAAATGCTACTTGGGTAGTTATTAGGACATTCGCCCAAATTCAGATCTGATAAGCAAAGACAGAAAGACTGTTAAAGCTGTAGTAGGCCTACTAAGCTGATGTAATTGACGGACAAAGCCATGAGCATGTTTTGTCAATCAGAACAGCATTGTGCAACTTTTCTCTAACTTAATCATCCATGTATCCATTCTTTCTTACAAGATCTCTTTCAGTCAGTTTAATCTGCATATTTAAACGCGGATACCGTGTATTTTTTTTTAACTTTGGATATAAAAATAAACTAACTTATCTTTACTGGTGCCCGGTGGCGTAAAGGTACAGGCTCTCGTCCACCAATCTCAAGGTGTGGGTGCGAATCCTACACCCGGCATTTCATCAGCCGACTACTTTTATTAAAAATAAAAAATAGTTTGGGTACCGAGGTCGACTCATCAACCGACTACTTTTATTAAAATAAAATAGTTTGGGTACCGGGTCGACTCAGCCTTAAATGAGTACTTGGGATTCACAATCCTGAGGTAATAATAGGCGGTTGAAGCGTAGTGCTAGCCACATTACCTTCCTTGAATACCGAATGGCTCTATAATGGCAAGCTGTACCTTGCTACTCCCAAGGCGTTAAACGCTATATACGGGAACTATTATTATTATTATCTCTTTACTATATTATTAAAATCTCAAAATCTACCTACATTTAACACTTTAAGTTAATAAACAAGTTAACTCTTTTTTGGAGATACGTGTATTTTAAGTTATTTTTTCTGTCCCAAAACAGGTGTCTACTAGTTCCAATTATCCAACTGCCTCTGGGTTAACCAACTCAGCGGGGAGCGGCTCAGAACCGGATCAGAATTGCCCCGTCTCGGGGGGCAAGTCCTTTAAATGTCTGCACTGGCGATGCCCTTCATCGACAACGATCTTCTATGGAGTAGTGACCATGACGGTAAAATGGTGGACCTCTCGTCTTGTTTACAGGTACGGCAAAAATATAATCAGTTTTTAGTATCACTGAATCATCTCTGCAGAAGCTAAGAAGCCGTTTAAAACACTTGAAGAAGTGTTCCAGCATTTTTTTTAATTGAAAATGTCAAAAGTTGACATATGAAATGCTATTCTATTCAGAATGTCGTTTTTTATCAAATGGACTAAAAAAATACCGACGGTGTCATTTAAAAAGCAAAAGTTGTAGTAATTTCCGGTGAAACAGGAAGTGATTGAAAACAGTTGAATATGCCAATCAATCTTAATTTATGTCATATACTAACATACCAAATCTGTTTTTTTTTATCTGAAAAAATGAAAAAGTTATAGGGGTGAACCACGTTTGAAAAATACCCGATATAGACTACTAACCATTTTAATAACTCTAAAACACGTTTGTAGCTTAACTAACTGTTAAATATAACTCCAAAAGCTTCAAAATGTACAACTTAACAAGTATAGCTAGAGACGTGAGAAATATAAAATAACACGCGTCCGGTGCTATCCCAAAGTCTCTTCCTATATTTGTACAACTGTATTAAAAACGACTAAAACTTGATTAAAAAAATGGCTAAAACTAGTAATTACGAGTTGAACAATTGAAGTCTGAACAAATTAAATACAAATGTTCTGTTCAAAATAGAGTTTTCCTATCAACTAATGGTTAAAGTCTTGCTATAAAAAAAACTAAATCACCATCGAGATCACCATGTATATATTTTGAAAAAAAATTAAATGTAATCATCATTTCTACAGCTCAATCTTGCTTCAACAATTTGATTGTTCAAATCAAGTCTTTTTTGTATTTTTCAATATGATATAAGAAACGTTTTTGGTGTTTATGACAACAATTTTTCTTTTTAGGACGCTTCAGTTGCCATTGGCACCCAAAAACTATGACTACAAGCACCAATACTAGCACAAATTCCTTGGCGAGCTGACACAGTCAGATCTAACAAGCTTAGTTCCTGCTATTGCAGGAGATCCCAATCCATATGAACGACACAGATGACATTTTCAAGCATTTGTCAGACACCACTGCCATCGAGATTGAGAGCATTCTCAGCGAATTCAATTCAACACCCTATATTAAGGTAAAGAAACTAAAAAACAGATAACAGAAAAATACAGTAAAAAGTTTTTTAACGGAATTTTTTGATATGAATAAGGCAAAGGAAAAATGCGAACAAAATGATAGTAATATGCGCATTTAAATGCACAAGTTTTGCAAAAAATGCAAAAAATATACAATTAAATATTCGTCAAATGATTTGAATAAAATTATGTTTTTCTTTCAAACGTCACAAAAAGTATTAATTTTTGCGACGTGATTAATAATATAAAAAAAGTCATTTTAATGCCTAGGCATAAAAAAGTAAAACACTTTTACGCCTAAGCATAAAGAATACAATATATTATTAAAACTGACATAAAGTGTCAAATTCAACGAGCGTAACCATAGTTTCTCGATTAATAATTACATACAAGGTATGACTAGATCTTTTATATTATTTGGAACGTTTGAAATTGTTTAAAAAATAATTTGTGGCGTTTGAAAAAAAGAGCATGTTCTATTCGGAGTAAAATGACTTTTTGTGCCTCGGCAAACGTACAGCTTCGCCACAAAGAAGTATCATTTTGCTCTAATAAACTAATATACTATTTTGTCAAACGTCACAAAAATATTAGACTTTACGACGTGATTGACAATATAAAAGTCTTTGTAACGCCTAAGGCAAAAGTAAAAAAACTTTACGCCCTAAGCATAAAAGTACGAAATTTTTGACGAAAATATATTATTAAACTGACATAAAATGTCCAAAACTAAACGAGCCGTAACCTTAGATTAAGAATAAAAAGCCGTAACTATATAGTTTCTCAGAATATAATTATTTCAAGGCATTACTTTGAATTTTTTATATTATTTGGAACGTTTAAGATTGTTTAAAAATTATTTCTGATGTTTGAAAAAAATTAGCATATTTTATTGGGCGTAAAAACGACTTTTTTTTGTGTCTCGCCTGTAAACATCCTTGCCACAAAAGTATAGTTTTACTCCTAATAAAACAATATACTATTTTTTTAATATATAAATTATCTAAATTTCCCTATCATGAAACTCCATATTTAGTATAATTAATTTCACAATAATAAAACACAATTGTCTATATCATTTCGTAAGATTATACAAAATTATGTATTTAAAAAAAATTAAATAAAATGCCCAAAAAAACAATGCAAAACAAAAATAATATCACACAAGAATTATAAAAACAATTAATTAATAAGTATCTTTCAAAGTTGTTTCAAAGTGCTCTAGAAGAAAACTTTGTCTTTTGTCAGTTTGGCTGTCATCAGGCAGTCAGGCTTTATCATTTGTTCCCTACTCCAGTTTTAAAATTGTCTGTTTACCAATAATATAATTTAGCCTAGGTAGTTTATTACAGGCCCAGGTAAAAATATTAATGTAATACAATTTGTGATAAAAATACAAAACTTACTGCTTACTTGACAAAAATATATTTTCTTCCTAAACAGACAAAAACGCACTTTTCCATGTCTTAATCGTCATAATATGTTTCTGAATTAATTAATAAAAACACTCTAATTCCAATAAGTAAATTTAATATTCCAAATTAAATATAGAAACCACAATCTCCTTTAAAAACCGGCACCTCCGCCATTATATTGAAATATTTGTGCATTTATCCATATCAGTTGCCTTTACATCTAATAAGGGCGCTGATTCCCAAATAACCTTATATTTACCGTAAGTAGAAATCTGTAACACTTCTAACAATGCTCGATTATCTTCTAGCCAACAGATGTCGCTGATACACTCTGTTTTCCTATTTTAGCAAGAAGAAAACAACAATACGATTTCTAGTGAATGTAGTGTATGATAGCGCCTCGCAGCGATCGCCAGGTGTAGCGGAAATAGGTAGAAGTTTACGATAGCGGCCGCCAATCCCATTCTCGCAGAAAAACTGGCGGCACCTAGCGAGCAGAGTCTGCACTTGCAGGAGGGGTCGAGACATCTGGTGACGCTTACGCCGAAGATTGAGAAAGGTAAGTTAGTAATGGCGGTTTCTAAGAGGTGGCGCTGCGTATTTTGATGGAAATATTATTTGTATAGGGTGTTAAAAAATATATTAACATATAGTAACTGTTTTGATATAATTTTTAAATTTGATTGTTTATAGCTAAAACATAAATATAAAATTGTAATTTTATTTTTTTTCTTAAATTTTGAAATCGAAATTGAATAAAATAATGGAAATTTCTGAAAAAAAATGTAACAGAATTAAAGTTATGGACATGGGGCTAGATACATACAGGGTGAGTCAACAACGGAGTCATGTTTATTTTCTCACTTATATGAAAAGCGAAAAAAATTCCTACATACAATAATTTTAATGAATGTTGTGCTATATTTAATTTTAAATTTTTTTGCGGTATACAGGGTGCTTCAAAAAAGTGTGGCTGTTACAGCATGTGTTTTTGAAATGTAATACTTTTTTATTTTGTTTTCAGATTCTGCGTAAAAATTTAAAAGCGTAAAGATTTATGAATTCTTTGTAAAATATATTATAAAATTATACTTGCGTTTACTGTGATAAACATTTGTAGCAGTTTAGTGCTATTGTTTCTGATGCTGGAACTCTTAGAAAATGTTGCTTTTGGTAGCTGTTATCATTGAAAAAATCTAAATATTTTCAAAAGGGTTTAAAATAAAGAAACTATACAGGGTGAGTCTTAAATAAGTGCAAATATTTTTAGGGGTAGTATATTTCAAACAGAAACACGATTATGAGTTTTTTTGCAAAAAAAATTGTGAAAATTTGGAAACTTTAACTACTCTGACTCACTGATTAACCACTCAACGTAAGAAGCTCAATTTTGGCATACAGGTTGACTCTAGGGTGTAGAGGTTCGATAAGAAGGGATTTTTCGATATTCCAGTTCCAAGGGTGTGAAACCATCCCTCAAATATTACAATATTTTTTATTTAAAAAACGGTCAAGTTTCCGAAAAAACGCTTAACACGTATATTTTTTATGTTTTTTCACATATTTTAAGATTTTTTAAAAATGTATATAGGGTGTTTCGCAAAATATGGTCATTGATTAATCACGAGCCTGCTGAAAGCGATTGACGTAAAAAGCTGATTTTTGGAAAACGGATTTTCTTTAGGGTGTAAAATCAATCCAAGTTTAGGTTCGATAAGAAAGGATTTTTCAAAACTCGAATTCTAAGGGGTGAAACCACTTCAAACATTAGAATATTTATTTATAAAAAAAAAAAAATTTTTCTTTAAAAAACTCTTAAACACGTATATTATTATTTTATTTTGTTGTTTTACATATTTTAAGATTTTAAAATTTATACAGGGTGTTTCATAAAATATGACTATTGAGTAATCACGATTTCACGAAAGCTGATTTTTGGCAAAACGGATTGACTGTGGGTCATGGGGGGTAGAGGTTCGATAAGGAGCAATACGTAACTGAAACGAAGTACAATTGAG